CAAGGCCTTCAGAAATCCAAGGAAAAATTATTTCCAATGTGGAATTCTATACCTAGCCAAACTGTCAGTCAAGTGTGGTGTTAGAACATGGTCATTTACAGATATGCAAAGTCTCAAAAGCATACCACCCATGCACTGATTCCCAGGAGTTTCAGCCACATGTGTTTGAGGGATAAGTCTTCCTGAGATAGGCCTGAGGTCTAGGACACAAAAACTGTGACACGGAAAGAAAGCAAAAGGAATTCACAAGATGAGACACCAAAGAGCAATCAATTTCAACTGGAGCAGAGTGACAGGAGTCCCCAGGAGTGTGATATGCAGGAAATAAGAAGGAACTGATAGATTATCTGATATGTTTGATTGTATCCTGAAAAATTATGTTGAGAGGGTGTTGATGCATGTAGCAAAGACAGAGGATAAGTCCGTGGAACAGATGAAACACTATAGGAATTGAGGCCAGGGGGAAAGAAACATGAAGCAGTGCACCTGGCTCAGCAGTGAACAGCATGCACGTGGTCAGAATAACGGCTTGACTAAGCGTGGTGACCGTGGAGTGGAAGGGAGCAGGGCTTGGTGGGAAGGGGTTGTAAGAAAGCGAACTAGTTAGTGATAAATCGTTGACAAATTGATAGATCGAGAAATTTTAAAAATTGCAACTTCTTGAGAAAGAAGTAAATAGCAGACAGATCCCCTAACAAAGTTAAAAATATGTCTTTGGGAAAGGACCTCAGAGGTAGGGAGGTGCCCAAGACGTTGCTGCTGACATTTTATTTTACAAACCTTTTGGTGTCGTGTATTTTTTAGAACCCTGTGTACATACTGCTTTGATTGTGAAAGCTATTGAAAAGACTGAATATATGCATCCCCTATCAGCAGTTCCACTCCTAGCTCTACAGCCAGCAAAAATAAGTCTATACACTCATCAAAAAAAAAAAAAAAAAACTAGAACGTTCATAGCAGCCTTTTCTTAAGAGCCCAAAACTAGAAACTTTGCAAATGCATTTTGTGCAGGGGAATGAACAGATAAACTGCAGTCTGTTCCTGCGGTAGGACCCTGGAGAGTGCATGGACAGTCACTGCACATAGCAGGGGCGAATCTCACAGGGAGCGTGGGGGGAGCCAGGCCCAGGCGTGAGCTACAGGATCTGCAGGCTCTGTTGGCAGGACGTTCCAAGGCAGGCGAAGCTGATCGGGGAGCTGTAAGTCAGGATAGTGGGCACTGCTGGGGACCACAGCAAGGGGCAGAGGCAGGCCTGCGTCGTTGTACCCACTGTTCTTGGTGTGAATGCCGGGTCCACGGGCAGTTGCACATTGTGGAGAGTCACCAAGCTGTGCATTGAGGAATTGTGCACTTGTTCTGGGAGTGTTACACTTGGTATGAAATTTTATATATGTAGTATATATAATACGTATTACAAAATACATATTCTCTATAATGTATATAAATACTTTTTTTTAATGAAGTACGGACACAGGGAAAGCCATTATGCAAATGTGTGGCCATTTACCGCTATTCAGATCTGAGAAATGAGGATGATGACAATTGTCAGTTCTGATTCCAGCTCTAATTCCGATTTAATAATGGAACTTCTTATGCCCTTATGATCACTGTTGTTCCTTAACAACCTGCCTTCTGGATACCGGTGACGCCCTAAAGAGAGGGGGTGCTGGCCGTACTGGGGGTACCATGTGGGCACCGAGGAGCGTGGGCTGCTGCTGCGGCCCGGCCACCCTCCCGGGCAGCAGAGGTGAGCAGGCAGGGGCAGCAGGAGGGGGCACCCAGACAAGGAGAGCCACCTGGGCCAGAGCACAAGAGCCCCTCGCCCTTCCCCAGGGACTCCTGAGCCCCTGTGCCCACATCTGAGCTGGGCCAGCCCCACAGCCCCGGCCCTCGCGTGCAAACCAAGCCTGAGTCCGGAGGAGCCGTGCAGGCTGCTCTCCAGCACTGGGACGGGCCGGGCGAGCGTGCGGAAGCCACTCTGGCCCAGGCTGCCAGGAGGAAGCCCCGCAGGAAGGCTGCTCACAAGGTTTGGTGGCTCCTCCATCCCCTGTGGAGAATGGGGGAGGATGGGGTGGTGGTCGCAGCCTCCTGTCCCACAGCAGCCCTTGTTCCTGTTGGTGTCCAAAGTGTTGTCACCGTGTTCTCTGTACATTGAGATCCACAGATGGGGCTGGCCTGGAGGACAGGGACACTCAGATGTCTCCCTAGGAAGTCACACCCCCCACCCTGGGTGCAGCAGTCCATCCCAGCAGGGGGTGGGGTTGGCTTGGTGCCAGCACCTAGGTGGCGATCTAGGGGTCAACTGGTGTTTGAGTTGGGTTTTAATCAAACACAGTTGGTACGTTTGGTTGCATAAGTTGTCTCCTCTCTGACATTTGGACCTAACTAACAAGAGAAGGTTTATTTTTTTTAATGACTTAGAAGAGTTGCTAAAAGGGTAGAGGGTAGGGATGTCATCAGAATATACCTGGGCCTAAACATAATCCATGTAGGAAAGAGACATGGCATGCGTTTTGGGGTTTGAGTGTGACCATTTGCCCCAGAGAACCTCCCATCCCGTGGTTCGTGTTTAGGTGACCCTGGTGTTCCCATTCAGAACATTAGGCTGAGTCTGCCGCTTTCTCAAGTATGACTCTAGAACGTTTTCAGTGCGTGGCGAATGCTAGATGGTAATAAATAATGGAAATACCCTTTACAATAATGCAAAGAAATGTAATCCAGCCAGACAGCTATTGGTAGTAGAAGAAATACGAGCCATAAAGTATCGAGGGCTATAAATTTCCAGAGAAATGGTTTGGGAGGCAGCGTCTTGCAGAAGCCCTGGTGGCAGGTGGCAGGGATGGCACTGACTGCAGGTGCCCCAGCTGTGCCTGGACCTGGCTCCTCCCCACAAATGGAGCATGGAGACATCTGGCCTTGCCCCTAAAAATAGCGACTGTAGGAAAAACAAAGCAGCAGGGATATTCCTCGAAGAAATTTGTGATTTTTCCAAAACCTCAAACAACAGTGGGTAACTTCCAGTGAAAGGAGGTGAAGAGGTTGGCAAAAGCTTGTTGGAAACTCACTCTAGAGCTAAGAGAAGTGGGCCGGTGAGAGAGCCAGAGCCAGGCACTTTGGAATATCTCCGGGTAGTCTCAGGAAGGGGAGATGTCACACAGCAGGGGAGTGGAACTCAGCCTGAGCGTAGAGGACATTTCTCCCAGTCCGCAGCCTCTCAGTGGGAGGCACAAGCAGTTTTGTAGCCGCAGTTAACCGTTTTCCAGGGAGTCACCTTTGTTAGGCCCCAGCAGTCTGCTCTGTGTAATGTAATGACATCTCTGCCTCTTGGGAGCTCAGACCCCAGGAACTCTCTGTCGTGTTGTTGCGGTTTTATCTGTTTGCTGTTGTCAGTATATCTCCACCCGTGGGGCCCCTAACCTGCCACCTTGCCTAGGTCTCTTGGAACAGTTGCCCTGGAACCAAGCATATAAAAATGCAGATCAAATCCCCCCGGTGTGGAGAATGACAGTAAAGAAGCTAATGTGATTGTCAAGCAGTTGTGTCGGCTTTGGGCACGAGAGCTCCAACGCCATGTGTGCTCAGAACCCACAGAGCTGGGCTCAAGAGACTGCCCAGTGCCACCCCCTTCCTCCTCCTCCTGAACACCCAAGGCACCCGGGGTGCACGTGAGTCAATAGCTACTGAGTCTCTGCCATTCCCCCGGGGCACTAGCCAGGCTGCAGGGAGACCACAGCGGACAAGGGAGACGTGGGCCCTGCCCGGCGGGGCTGACAACCGAGCAGAGCAGGTCCTTACTCAGATGCGTGAACCCTGCTGAGACGGGGAGGCCGAGGGGTCAGGGAGTGCCGCAGGCAGGTGACCCCACCACGTCCTCTCTGCACCCCTTTGCACAGCAGACCACAGCGGGGACAGCCACAGAGCCGGGATTCTAACGAGCACTGGCGTTTGGAGTCGCCACTGAGGACAGGCAATTACAGTAAATTGTGTCACAGGGCATCGCAGGGGTGGGGAGCGCTGCTAGACAAAGCGAGACTCAGCTAATTATGGTGTAATTAATTAATTACTGTTGTCCTAGGAGGCTTCCCATTTTGCATTCCCTTAGCTCTGTTTCCTGAAAAATTGCTCATGGTGAGCTCCCAACTCCATTCCAAAGCAAGAAGTAGTGGGAGAAAAAAATAAAATAAAATCTATAATTAAAGGCCCAGAAGTTGAGAGAGCGAAGGGAGGCAGGGCAGCAGCCGGGGCCTTCTCGCCCGCGTGGGTCTCCGTGACCGGAGGGTTGGGACTGGGCATGCTGGGTTTGCCACAAAAACCCAATCAGAGGCAGCGTCCAAACCTCCACGGGTCCCTCACAACCCCGGGAATCTAAATTGTTTTAGACCAACACCTCGTCATGTGATTGAACACTCGGGAATGTGGGTGTTGGTCTCACGTGGAAGGTTTTATTGGTGATGAATTTGACTAAGCCCGGCTGTGGCGTGGCGGGGCACAGGGTCGGGGTCGCGGGAGGGCTCGCCAGCTGGGGGTGACGTCTCATCGCCCTGCAGTGGATTCGCAGAGCCTGGCCCAGCGTTTCCTCTCTGGGCAGTGAGAGCTCTCATCTCCTTCCCCGTACGCCTGCCGGGTGGTGGAGGCGGGATCAATGGTAAGTGCAAACGGGCTTTAGAAAGTTAGATGTTACTCTAACAAACAAAACGCCGTTCTTGGGTAGAAAGCGACACTGGAGATATTTAGCCCCTCCCTGAGAGACAGGTGCCAGAGCCCCCAGACCCCAGCCTGGTGGAACTCCAATGGGCAGCCCCCAGCCCTTGTCCCTGCAGCTACAGGCCCCTGCCCCACAGCCCTCCTTGCAGTGGTCCTCGGTCATAGCCGGGGACATGTGCAACTTCACCTCCGGCCCTGGCAAGGCCTTTCGGGAACCAGAAGCCATAGACAAGCGCCCCACCCACTGCTTGTCCTGACTCGCTCACCTTGACTCCCTTCTTCTCCAACTCTGCAGACCAACAAGGCGGTGGCCAAGGGGGACTTGCACCAGGCCAGCACCAGCTCCCGGCGGGCCCTGTTCCTGGCAGTGCTGTCCATCACTATCGGGACCGGCGTCTACGTGGGCGTGGCCGTGGCCCTCATCGCCTACCTCTCCAAGAACAACCACCTGTGAGCTCCCCGCGGGCACAGAGCAGAAGCACCGGGCCGGGAGTGGGCGCAGGGGCCGCGGCGCTGGCCCGGGCAGCCCCCGCATGATGCTGTACAGAACGGATGATTGCCAAGCGACGCCAGGAAGCCCTGGGATTTTCTACCATGGATCTCTTTTGTTTTTACCCTCTAATTTCATTTTCACAGCACTGTGTAGAGCACCAGACACACGGGCACTGCAAATCCTTCCAAAGGCAAGCTCCAAAGATCCTGACCCGCGAGGCTGTCTCTGGATGGATCCTGGTGGATTAACAGCAGCGCGGCTCTCTGCAGTGCCCGAATGCCACCGCATTAGCAATATACAAACACTAAAAAATGCGTTTATTTTTTATGGAATACAGTGCAATAGGCAGAGGGCAAGGGACATGTCACTCTTCTGTCTGTGGCCCTGCTTGACTCCTTGTGTCCTTCTGGTCCACGCTCCTTCCCTGCAGGAAGAGAAGGGGGCCCTGCTCTGCAGACTGGCCTGGCCTGAGAATGCAGGGCCGGGGACCCTGGCACGGGACCCGCCCGCTCCACCCCTTCATGCTGCCCAGCCCAGGAGCGCCGGGCCTCCTCCAGAACGTGTCCACACTCAGCAGCTACCCGCAGCAATACGCAATCCTGGGACCTCGCCAGTCTAGGATGGGGAGACGGGCCACAGCCCCCAGCGAGACTCCCCAAGAATGAGCCCCACGGTTGCTCCCGAAACCCCAGGCAGCGGAGCCGTGGGCGCCCCTCAGCATGGACACACCAGGGGTGCTTCTCCAGTGACCGCCCTGGCGGACACTCACCTGGTGATGAGCAATGACACTAGTGACCTGGACTCGAGATGGGCCTTACTCTGTCGACTCAACGAATAGCTATTTTCTTGTCATTTTTTTAAGTGCAACTCTTGCTTCCTGCTGCTTAAGTTATCAGACGAATGCCGAGGAATAAGTAATCACAGACATTTTAATACCATTTCATTGCTGTTTTATGAGTGTTCATTACTTAACAAAAATTATCTTTTAGCTTTTTTGCTTAAGACTTTTCTTTCTGATTAATGGGCGTTGTTGGCTTTCAGTTATTCTTTTTACTTGTGGTTTAAGTAACTGCGGAGCTGCCAGGCGTAGCTGCTAAAACAGCAGGAGGGCCCCGAGAGCCACGGCGGCCCTGCTGGCTTCCATGCCCATCTGAACACCATGAATAAATTCCCTCAGTGACACAGACCCCTCTCTAGGACAGCGATGTCACCCCTGGCACTTAAACAATTCCCGATGGCTGGCTCTCAGGCCCAGAAATCCTGATTTGCTTGGTCAGGTGTGCAGGGTGTAGCAGACAGGGTAAGGACCGCTGCCCTGGAACAAGGACTGCAGCTTTGATGTCCCCACCTGCCGCTCTCCCCCTTGACCTTGAGCATTTAATACTCTGAGAATTATTACCACTGTCTTCCTGAGTCAAATCCGAGATCCACCTAGTGTTTGTCTCTCACAGTCCAAAACATACTCTATCTAAGACCTTAACCCTAAGAAGGATATATGGAAGCCCAACATCCCTGGAAGAGTCAGAGTCACCTGGCCATAGAGAGCATGGGTTTGGGGTCAAACCAGCCTGGATTTGAATCCAGTTGTGCTATTTTCTAGCTGTGTGATCTTGGATAAATGTCCATGCCTCTCTGAACCTCACTCTAGGAGAGGATAATCAATAAGGCCAGTAGGATTGCTAGGGAATGTGCAGTGCCTGGCACCAGCAGGTGGTTACGGTTGCTATCAGTGTCCCTAGGCAGGTCGTCCCACAGCTAATCTGTGTCTTTCCATCTTTCAGTCCAATCACTCAGGGTTTATTCATCATGAGCCATTACACAAAATATTTGTTCTGAAATGGTCTGAAACAGAAAATTTTCTGTTTGAGGGCTGCATGTGTCTGGATTTGGTGAGGAAGTAGAATCAATCTGCACATCCTCACCCATCAGCCCCATTGTCACTGTCACAGTCGCCCTAAGCCAGGCCCTGTGTGCCAGACACCTTACCTCCTGCAAGACCACCTGCCCCTCTTGTTCCAGCCTTTGCAGCGGGAAGAACCTCAGTTTCCAGGAGCTCAGCCCTCTCTGGACTTTCTCGAGCTGTGCTGAGTCTTTCTCAAGGCCGGCACCATGACCACCTGTGGCATCTGCCTGAGTGGTCACCGGTGTGAGTGGTCACAGGTGTGCCAAGGGGCAGGGCCAAGAGAAAACAGGTGTGGAGCCCAGCAGCTCACCTGGTGGGTGGGCACAGTGCGTAACAGTCCTACCACTGGCTTGGCCTCAGTGGTGGGGTTGGTGGTTGACTGTCACCTTCAGTGGCTCTGTTGGTGACTGCTGTGCAGCAGAGCCGTCATCTAGGCATGCATGGGTGACTGCGCCTCCCTGGACTGCATCTTCGTGTGAGGCCCCCCTTGACCAGGCCGGCCATGCACAGCTCCGCACGGGCATTGGCCGTGTTACCTCCACTCGTCCTCCCGACACCCCAGCAGGGAGGTGAGAAACCAAGCTCCAGAGAAAGGGGCACGTGGCACTGCACAGACACCAGATACACAGGGAGGACAGAGCCACAGGTACACACCCCAGCCCTCTCCCCACCAGGTGACAAAGGGCCACTGTGGGCCCTCTCTCTGCCCCTTTGAGAGGCTTCTCTTCTACATAAACACTCTTCCTACCGCCATGGTGTTGACACTCAGACCCAGACCCAGACGCATCAGCAGTTTCCCCAGGTCCTGCATGGGGGGAAGGGCAAGGTCAAGGTGCACCCTCAATCCTGACTGCCACTGGCGTCCTGTTATACCTGCCTCTGCTGTTGCACTAAGCAAGAAAAACTGCGTTTTAGCCAGGATCACGTTGTTGGTGGGTCAAGACTCATAGGGATTTGCAAAGGGTGTTTTGGTCTATATTTTGCAGCCTTTCTCTGCCAGCAGGTGGTGAGCAATCTGGGGAGAAGGACAGGGAGGACTGAGGCCACTTGCATGGAAAAGAACATCTTGATAAAGGTGCTTAGGATGTATCTCAGTCCCCGCAAATGGTCCCCTCCCACATCCGTAGAGATGTCCCTGGTGTACCTGTCACTCAAGAATCCTCTCCATCCCTGCTTCACTTGGCATCCCTGACTGCACCAGGGGTCCCCACCTCACCAGGGGTCCTGAACACACCAGGGGTACCCCCCTTACCAGGGGTCCTGAACACACCAGGGGTACCCCCCTCACCAGGGGTCCTGAACACACCAGGGGTACCCCCCTCACCAGGGGTCCCCATTTCACCAAGTGTCCCCACCTAACCAGGCATCTACATCTCACAGGGGTCCTTGTCTCACCAAGTGTCCCCATGTCACCAAGTGTCCCCACCTCACCAGGCATCCCCACCTCACCAGGTGTCCTCACCTTACCAGGTGGCCCCAGTGTCAGCAGGTGCCCCCACTTGACAGGACAGCCCAGCTACCACAGGGAGCTACAGTGAGTCCCGAGAACATGGTGGGGCGGCCACGTGGGTGTTCCCTGTGCTGTCGGAACAGCCCCACAGACAGCAGGACCCGCCTCCAGAGCTAGGCCGGGGCATCCCGCAGGCCCTCTGCAGGTGCCAGAGGCCGTGCCGCACCCGAGCAGCCCGTGGGTGCTGAGTGCCCTGTGGAGCAATCTCCCCGTTTCCCACCCGCCACTCCCACTCCGGTGCAAAGGCCGAATGGTCCCGAAGCTGAGGCCGTGGCCAGAGCTGCTTTTGCAGAGCCCTGGCCTGTGTCAGGGCCTGGCTGCTGAGATTTTCGAGTGGCCCCTCCTGGACAGGCTGACGTGCCAGCCATCACAAGGACAGTTTCCTGCTTCTCTCCCCACTCCGAGTCCACCCACATCAGTTGCCACTGATGTTGACGTCTGTTGACCCAGTTTGCCAGCAAGCCATTAATGAGTCAGGCTGACCTCTCGGACAACGAGGCTGTCCCCTCTGCTGTCTAGAGATCACCTGGTGCCTCTGCATTGAGTCGACAGTGTTGGGGGGTGCATTGGAAGTGGTGCGAGGCTGTGGCTGTGATTTCCCACCACCCCCCTCCTGCCCCATGACCTACTGAAAGCTCCTCCTTGCTCTTCATTCAGAACGAGCTCAGCCGCCACCCTCACCTGCAGGTCCTGCTCCCCTTTGGAAAGCGGCGGTAGATGCTAAACCCCCAGACAGCTGGGCCTGCAAACCAGCGTGTGCATCGAGCAGTGAGCGTGCCAGGAGCCCTACAGGAGGGGTCGGAGCTCCCTGCAGGGCGAGGGCAGCAGGGTGGGTTAGCTTAAGGCACAGCAGGCCCCAGCGTTCAGGGTGGCGGCGGCACTGCAGGAGTGGGGATGGGGCTCCGGGACGATGAGAAAGGCACGGACACCTGCCCCACACGCCGGGGAACCGGACGGCCGGGAGTGGAGCTCCACGCAGGTGGGTGCAGTCGGCTGACTCCCGGGCAGGGGCAGGCCTGGGGGGCTCCGGGGATTTGCCCACCCCTACCAGGTGGAGAAGCAGCGAGGCAGGGCGGGACGGGCAGCTGGGGGTGGGGCAGAAGGTGGGGGCCTTGGGCAGAAGCAGCGAGTGGGGCTGGTCTGGGCTTTGCAAACCCAAACAACGGTGAGAGTAGGAGCAGTTCACGCCACATCAGAACCTGTGTTTGCTTGAGCTGAAAGGCGACAAACAGCCCTCTGCCCCAGGAGGAAAGTCAGAAGTTCTTTCCTTTGGCTTTTGTTGTTACTGCTGTGGTGGTTTATTTCATTCTATTTCTGAAAACCCATGGGGTAGGGCAGATTTCTTGAAGAAAGCCTTGGAAGGCCAGAAGACAGCAGCGTGCAGGTGGGCTGAGTCACCAGCGTGGCCCTGCATGGGGGACACTACCCCTCGCTTACTCCCGGACGCCTGCTGTGGGGTCACTTCCCATGCTGGTCTGAGGCTGGCACTGGGCCTGCTAGGCACAGTTGATGGCCGACTTTGGTCCCTTCTGTCCAGCAGAGGCCCCAGATCCACCACAAGGGCCCATGGCCGCACCTGCCAGAGGCCCCATAGAAGGGAGCGAGCGCTGTCCAGAGCTGACCCCGCACCCGCCGTGTGTGAGGTCTCGGGGACCTCGTGCGCTTGCTCAAACTCTCCGGCACAGCTGGCTCATCCATGCCAGGCCTTCAGGTCATGGCGTGAAAGCCCCTGGTCAGGAGTGACAAGGACAGTGTCTTTGTCCAGACTCTGACCAAGACCCTCCCTGACTTTCATCGCGGGCAACTCCATCGCCTGACGTGCTCCCACACTCACCACATTGTGTCCCAACGTCACAGCCGAGACACAGGCCACGCAGGTCCCAGACGTAGAGCTCTCTCCTCTGCAGTCCAGGACCAACGCCGTGCCAGCCCTGGCCGTCGGGCACCACTGCTCTGTGCCACTGCAGCCGTCCCTGCCTTGCAGGGCTGGCCATGGCAGGTCCAGGCTCCAGGCTGGAAGACAACTGTCCCTTCAGCTGAGTACTGCCACCAGTCTCCTCTGTCACCCAGAAGCCCTTTGCTCTGGACGACACAGAATGAGCCTGGGGCTGCACTTACCCAGGACAGGGGAAATTCAACACCTGGTGTCACACAGCTTGCGAAGATCAAAAACAAGTCTCTCCATGAGATGTCAGCTAAGCCCTGGCGTGTCACCCCTGCACCCCCACTGGCTCTGGGGGACCGTGCTTTTCACCAAAATCAGGTCATTTTGGCCCAATTTGAACATATAGAGAGAGATGATTGAGATACCTGTGTAACTGTGAGAGAGAACTTCACCAAATCCCAGCGTCAGCACCACCACGCGGGACTCCGAGCCATTCTCACCGGCCTTCGGTTAGGACAGCCGGTGACACCCGAGTCCAACTCAGGACTCAGCCAAAAAATAAACAGCGGTTTGGTCTGCTGTCTGTGCCAGAGACTCTATCTTTGGGTTCAAACTATTTTGTTAACCCAATCAAGATCTGCAGTTGGAACAAGATGGTTCTAGTTCCTCTCAGTCACCTGAACTGATGTCCCAGCACATTTTCAGCAGTCTCTATTTTTC